TTTTTAAATTTTTTAATTATAAATTAATTATAATTAAAAAAATCTCTTTATAATTATATTTTTTTTAATTATTCAAATTTTTTTTTTAAAATATAATAATTATAAAAAAATTTAATTATACTTAAAATTAATTTCAAATTAAATTTAAATTAGATTAAACTTTAAATATTTTAAATTTAAATTCAAATATAAATTTGAATTTGAATTCAAATTTAAGTTAAAATTGAACTTGAATTTAAAATATAAATTTGAATTTAAATTTAATCTGAATTTGAATTAAAAATATTTTGAAATTTATAAATTTTAATTAATATTAAAATTAAAAATTATATATATAATAAATTATTAATATATAATTTATTTTAATTTTTCTTAAAATAAATATAATAACTTGAATTATTATAAATATAAAAATTAAATAATAAATAAATATTAATTATTAATTTATATAATTTAAAATATTATTAACTAAATAAATATAAAAATAATTAAATAAGAAATATTAAACATAATTAAATAAAATATAATAAAATTTATTATATAATAAGAAATTTATCTATTTATTTATCTATATAATTACTTATATATATAAATTATAAAGTATAAATTATAAATTTTTTTATATATAAAAGTTTTTAATTTCTAATAAATATTTTTTATTTTTAACTTAAAAAATAATTACTAAAGTTTTTTAGTTTAATATATATTTTTTCAGATTTTTTATTAGTAAATTATATATAAAATCAATTAATTTTTATTAATTAATAATTAATAAAAATTAATTAATTTCATATATAATTAGAACAAGTTATTAATAAAAAATCTGAAAAATCTGAAAAAAATATATATTAAACTAGAGAACTTTAGTTATTTTTTGAGTTAAAAATAAAAAATATTTGTTAGTAAAATTAAAAACTTTTATATGTAAGAAAAATTATATATTTACTAATTATAATTAATAAAAAATTTAAGTATTATATTATTTTTGTACTTTTAATAAAATTTCTATATTAAAATAAAATTATTTTAATAATAAGAAAAATTATATATATATAAAAATAAAAATAAATTCTTAAAAATTTATTTTATAAAATATTTAAATTATAATAAAGAATAATTATAAATAATAATAAAAAGCTAATTTTTTTTATAATTTAAAAATTAAAAAAACTTAATATTTAATAATTATTACTTATTTAAAAATTATTAAAATAATATTTATAATTTAGAAAAAATATATTTGTTATTATTAATAATAGTATCAGATTTTTTTTGTAAAAATTTTTTAGTAATTTAATATAATTATTTTATTAGAAATATTAATTAGTTATTCTAAAGTAAAAGTTTATAAGAATTATTTTTTTAGAATATAAAAGATAGTTTTATATATAAAATTTTGAGTTATTATTATTTTTTAAAAAATTATTTATTTTTTAAATTTTTTAATCTTGTGATTTAATTTGTTATTATTTTTATTATATATGAATTCTATAATTTTAGTGATTGATCTAATAATCTAGTATTATTACTAGCAGTAATAAATAAATTTATCCTATAATTTAAATATTAATATATTAAATTAAAATAAATAATATAAAATTAATTTATATTATTATTAATTAACTAATATTAAGTTAAAAGTAAATTAATTTAATAAAAAAATTAAAAATTAAAAAATAAATTAAAATTATTAATTATATTAAAAAAATTTTAATAATTAAGATTTATATTTCTAAATTTTAAATATTTTATTTATAAAATTAAATTATATCTTTAAATATTTTAAATAAAAAGCTATTTAAAATTAAAAATAATAATATTATTAATTATAATATATTTAAAAAAAGAATAAATAAATCTGAATTCTTTAATTTATAAAATAAATAAAAAGATTTTAAATTAATAATAATTAAAAAATAATTTATCTTTAAAAAAATATAAAAAAATTTTAAAATTAAAAGAAAAAAAAAGAAAATTAAATTATATATTATTAAAAAAGAATAAAAAAGAAAATATAATAAATACTCTAAAAAATAATTAAAAGATTAAATCTTTTAAAATAATTAATAAACTTTTTTTTATATTTTATAAATTAAATTTATTTTATAATATAAAATATATTTGACATTTTATATTTTATATTTTCTTATAAAAAAAATATAATTAATAATAAATTTAATAAATTATATTTTTACTTATTATTATTATTTTAAATAATAAAAAAAATATAAAATAAAAAAATATTCTTAATAAATATATTTATTATTATAGTATAAAAAATCTTAATTTATTAATAAATTATATAATATTTAAAGATTATTAAAGTATTTAATAAATTAAAATTAAAAAAAAATAAATTAATAATAATATTATTTAAGATATATATTAATAAATTACTAATTAGAATTTTAATTTAAGTTTTAAATAAAAAAAAATTGTATTCTAAATTAGATACTTATATTTTTATTATATAAATTTATTTTATTAATTAATTATAATAATATACTATATATAAATAATTTTTATTAATTTAATATTAAATCTAAAGATGAGATTATAATTAATTATAATTTTTTAATTAACTCTTATAATTAAATTATAATTTTTTGATTAAATATTACAAGTTATAATTACTATTTTCTCTTTATTTATCTTCTTAGAAGTATTTTTTCTTACAAATATTATCTAATTCAACCCTCTCAATTAAATGTATTTACTAATATTATTCTTAATTATATTTTTAATTAAATAACTATTATATTTGATTCACCAATTGTCTATTCAAATAAGAATAGTAATAATATTTTATTTTTATTGTTTTACTATAAAAAAATTAATTTAAAGTCTAAATATAAATTTTTGAAAAATCTAATTCAAGTCTGATTTGAAATTCAAATCAGACTCAAACTTGATAAAAAGTCTGATTTAATATTTTATTTAGAATACTAATAACTTCAGTAAAGATATTTATAACCCAGTTTCACAAGATATTTTTTGTTAAAAAAATGAAGTAGTAAAATTTCTCAAAAAAGAATCTTGATTTTTTTGTTTGCATTATATACTGATCTTGCGATCGGTAAAATATTTTGAGAGAAATGTCGGATCAGGTCGATAAATCACATGATTCGCAAAAATGTGAAGACTCAAAATATACTATCAATAAAACATTTATTAAAATATAAAAATTTTCAATACGTCAGCTCATCGTGAAGCCACCTACAAATGATCGCATGCTCAAGAATTTTCAATTATGTGTAATTTCCCCTCCCTTGATTAAATTAATCTATTTAATTAATTATATAAATAATTATAATATCATTTTATTTTGGATTGGAAGAAAATTTCCAACAATAGCAGACTAAAAACGAGTAAATTTATATCAGAATGATGTAATAATTATCAAAAAAAAATTTTACCAAGAAATTCGCTGCTTACCGGTCTATTTTTCAAGAAAATCCATAATAAACAGAGCAAAAAGTTAAAACATCAAACATCTTCCTAAAAAAAGCCAACCTCTCAAAAACAGAAAATAACAAAATACCCACATATTATACTTATCTCTCCGAATAGTGAACGAGAAACAGCAATTTGTGACCTTCTGGCGTTGTTGATTATTGCTGCTACTGCTATTGTTGCTGTTGTTGTTGGTGTTGCTGCCATCGCTGTTATTGATATTTTTGCTGCTACCATCAATATTATTATTGTTATTTGTATTATTGGCGCTGCTGCTGTTATTATTAATATTACTGCCGGTGTTGCTGTTGTTGCTATTCGGATGTTTCAAAATACATGAAGTTAACACGGCTTTCTGTCCCGGATCGAATGCAATGTTTCCGTATTTCTGTGCATCAAGTCATTTTAAAATATGCATGAATTTTTTAATTTATTATATAGAAAATTTGAAATATGGTAAAAACTTTCGTCACAAAGAATACATACCTCCCAATAATTCACTGCCGATTCTTCAGCCATTATCTTTATAATTTATACAAGCAATAAATGAATTTGCCTAATAGTAAATACAAAAAAGCGAACCCCGAGGACAAAAAAAATAAATTCACTCAATCAATTGTTAGATTAATTCACCTCGTAGATACATAACCGTCCCTCTCGTAGCATCTCAATAGGAACACCAACAAGCGACGCGAATTCCTTATTTCCCTTGTAAATTTCGCCGGTTCTTCGCCATAAACACGCAGGTATTCCCATTGAACTGAATACTCTATCGTAATCCTGATTTAATTTGTTCATTGATGATATATTTATATTTAAAAGTATCGTTAGAGAGACCCCCCTAAATGCATCCTTCTTGAGGAACATATCAATAAGCAGACAGCGGATGCATTTAGGGAGGTTTCTGTGCATAAGAAGTTCAATGAATAATAAGTAAATGGGGATAAAAATTTATCTCACTAACCAATAATAGTCTCTCAAATTGTTCCTCAACCAGCACCAAATCAAAATCCATTAGAGATTGGGCAACAGCGCGAAACGCCGGTCGAAACGTTCCTAAAGAATTTAGGATTCTTTGACGGCTATTATTTGTCATGCTAATTATATTAATGAAGAATAATAAATTAGATAAATATAAGAAAGCGTTCTAAATTATAGTTTTCTACTCACTTAGTTTCCATATACTGTTGTAACCTTGCATACCCTTTCACATAATTGTACGGCTTCAAAAAGCCTGCCTCGAATTTCGCGTTAATCACCTGAGTCAGTCTCGCCTCCGAAGTACCATCTGATGGGTCAGCAGCCGTCAAAAAGAACTTTTCGGTGATATTTAGTGGACTGCCATCGACGTTAAAGAGAGGTGGTTGTTGTTGATTTCCGTCTATGTTTTCTAGGAATTCACTGGTTTTTTTTAAAATAAAAAATTCAAGATTAAACTTTTCCAAATAATTTATGTTCTCTTGTTTTACATATTTATTTTGTTACCTAATGACGGTAAACTCATTTCCCATTTGCGCACTTGCAAATTTTAAAGGAGTCGAAGGCACTGGTGGGTATATAGTCATTTGATTAAAGGCTATTTATCATCGAAAAATTATGAATAGCGCGAAAGTTAAAAAGATTAACATATTTAGAATTTCCTATCAAATGAATGATATGAAAAAGAAAAACACCTTCTGTCGGTGGCATTGATATCAAATTTGCGTTAATTGATGAAGAAGGATGATGAGATCCACCTCTACCGCCAGCAGCCATTTGATGTGTTGCAGTAGTATTTGCTGCATTTTTTGGCTCATCGTGACATAAGTGTCCTATGCTACGTTTTATACATCGTTGACATGGTCTACCTATATATCATTGTTATATTTAATTTATTAAATATCTTCATTAAAAAAAGATTTACTTCACTCACTAACCATCATCACAAGTCATGTGTGATCTACGACAGTAAACACATGCTGTAAGAATAAGTCAATCCAAAGAATTAAATCAATTAAAGCAATTCTTGATAAGAAAATCATCGATGGTAATAATATTATTTACCGTGAGTAACTTTTCTTCGCTTCGGACCCGCTCTCTTTTTCTTTGTCTCATTAGAGTCTTTATTATTATTATTATTATTATTGTTGTTGTTGTTGTTGTTGTTGTTATTACCACTACTACCACCCACACCCCCACCCGCATCCCCACCCGCACCACCACCACCACTGCTATTAGTATTATTCAAGTTTTGCTGTTGTTGCTGTTGTGAATTCAATCCATCACCATCACCACTACCAGACAGAGATTCAGTCTCTGTCTTTATTGAACGATTGCTATTATTACTACTATTATTATTATTAATGTTGATGTTCTTTTGAGAACTGTGGTGCTGCTGGTCGAGTAATAATAACTGCTGTTGTGACAGAGAAGGAAGAGGAGCTATTTGTTGCTGGTGTTGAATGTCCTGAGATTGGTGTGGGTGATGTTGGTGATAATATTCCGGTGCTTGAAAGGTATTAGTGTTGTTATTAATATTCACGATCCTGGTGTGTGGTGGTTCTTTATCGTTCATTGAATTGAGGAGTAAAGAAATGTCTGATAAAATTACGCAAATCCCGTAGTAACAATGTCTTTATCATATTAATCACATGGTTCAAATGTCCAAAAAAAATTATTATGTAATATCTGTCACAGCCTTAGTGAAACAAACTTTACACACATATGATTTTGTTTAGTTACACACGTTTTAAAGTTAAGGATTTTCCGAACCAAATAAACCCTTGATGCATATGACGATAAATAGAAGGTGGCAGGCGAATGGCTTAAATTCGCGAAAAATGGATGATATAAAAGATCAAATAACTGTAACAGAACAAGAACCAGGAAGCGACTTAGAACAAAATGAATTTAATAATATTAACAGAAATCACAATAACAATAAGTACTGGTCAAGTGATGAAGAATCAGACGAAGAAGCACCATTTGGATACGAGTCATTACCTCAGGATGAAAATGAAATCAACGATGATGAAGATGAAGATGACAAAGATGATGATGATAATAATAATAGCAATAATGAAACTCTAACACGAACAGTAAACACGCAGTTATTATCATCGACATCGCCAACTTTTCCTCCTCCCCCAATACTAACAATCAAAACAAGTAAAATAGAAATGATACAAGCTAATGATTTATCGATAATTAATGACATCATGAAAAATGTCAGGATTCCAGAATCCGCTGTTCCTGGTATTTTATTTATTTTTTTTTTATATATATATTTTTTTTTACCATTACTCCCTCTGATTAAAAATAATATTTTGGTTTGATAGAATGGGCAAAAAGAATACCTGAAGAATCGTGGTTACCGCGTGTAATCGCAATAGATGATGAAAAAGAAAATATCAAAAATTCATCCTCACCATCTTCATCAACAACAATATTGGAAGATAAAGAAAAATAAATGATGGATACACCATCTAAATATAGATATTGAAGAAGACAGGATGTATAACTTGAATAATTTTTTAAGAATTATAAGATAACAAAACCACCATCATCATTCCCATTACTCAATTCTGAGCCATCGTATTTCGATATTTGTGAAACTGCGTAACAATCTCTTCATAAATTGTCCACGCCACAGCTGACTGCACTGGCTTGCGTGCTAGACGCATTGTTATACCATCGAAAAATCCAAGAAATCCTTCCTCCTGGAAATAATCGGATGGTATCTTAATATTTTAAACTAATAACCATTCAAGCGTATTCTTGTAAAAAAAATATATATATATATATATATATATATAAATACCAGAAACACTTTACGTGCAGCTTGTAACATGTTTCGATAATCAAGTGGTTTCAGCTGCATTCGAGTTTTTACCATATCAAATGGTTGTGTTAAGATCGTTGCTGATATTCCTGCAAACAAGGCTGGAAAATACCAAAATACACGTGAGAGAGATATAAAGTATCTCTCACTCGGGTCAATTGTGTTCCTTGGACTTACCTGAAGACGAATGAATTATAGGCGACGCAATTGCATATGAATTGGCTGATTTCCAAGCTTGAACGATTGAAAATTGAATATTAACAATATTAAATTAACCTCCTTAATGAAAAAATTAGACAAATCAAACCTCCAATCCACAATTTCGCACGCTCATAAAACAAAACATATAACCCTGCTTGTGGAGCATCTCTCAACACAGTCGCACCATAGCCATAAAAAAATCCCTTGAATCCTTCTGTTTTCAGTATTGAAGTTGCTGCGCTCCATACACTTTTGTAGCTATAGAATGAACTCTAAATTTAAGATTTGATTTTAAGATAATGATATAACAAAAGATGATGCACACAGTTAGCGCTATTAATTTTGCTTACCTCATACCTAACTTTAATGACCGTAGCCGGCATTACTATTAATCCCGCGATACCTCTTGCTGTCATACCAGCAATCAAGTTATCGCGACTTGAAATAACTGGTAAAGATGATCCGGAACCAGACAGTGCTGTTGTATGGAGTCGTGAATATTGTTTAAACAGTTGACGAATTTCAGACAATGTAAGAAAATATAGGGCTGATCCGGGAACATTCCTGTAATTGATTATTATTTATCTTTTAATGATGCCTAGGTCAAAAACTTAAAATAGCCCATTATTTGTAAGTCCATTACCGGAATATAGTAGGGACCGTACCACGCCATAACCCCGTTATCGAATCTTTGGCAATGATATTTTTCACTGTTGACACTAAGACACTACATTCAATCCACATTATCAAAAGAACGTACTCACAATAATATCAACGAAACTTCCTACCTAATTAATTACCTGTTCATAGGAGAAAGTTTGGCACTCGACAAATTCTGCAGTTGGTTACGAAACTGTCGTTCTTGCTGAAGACGCGTTTTCAACAAGTCAAATGGTTGTAACAGAACGCACGAAGAGAGGCCAGATATCGCGCCGGCTGTTAAGTGTGCTATTGGATCTTTATCTGGTTTTTGCTTCATGCCTCATCTATCCGTGATGAAATGAATTAGATATGAGAAAGTTGCAGGAATATAGAAAAAGCGTGTTTTTTACAAGAATTTCAGTGGTTACACCACTTTAAATTTTCCGTGATCGACAAAACCAGAAAAAAGTCCGATAGCATAGGATTGGCTGGATGGTTGGAATTTTTTTTGGGGCGTCCAGTAATTCTTCCAGTATTCAAATGACAACACTGATTAACAAAAATTTCAAGTGTTATCTCCAAAGAAGGAAAATAACGATCGAATCAGCAGCTGCAATTTTCTGGACTCGATGTCTAAAACAATTGAAAGATAAAGAAGGAGGAAGGCTTTTATTGAGATACGAATTTCGAAATTATTCAACGCTGATCAAAGAGAAAATCCCTCCAAATGAAAAAACTGAAAGTCGAACATTTTCTTTGAAAGAATCTAAAGATATAATATCGATAGATGCGTTAAATTTAATAGAACTGCATATGTTTCGGATAATGTTGCTTGAATATTTTGGAAAGTCACAAGAAGCAATCATTACTTTTATTGACTCCTTAGAAAGGAAAATAAAATTTTCCATTAGATTTCATTACGTAATTCGAGATAGAATTCTCCGTAAAGATGGATATTTGATGCTATATTTCTACAATGAAGTTCTTAAAAGAAACATCAAGATAGGAGATTCGCAAGAAGCGGTCTCTGCCAAAATAGACAATGCACTAAAAAAACATACAGCTGAAAACATATATGGGTATTATCAAAGACTGAAAAAAACGACCACATTGCATCAACAAGTTTACGATGAAATACTCGACCGATTTGCAACATATCCAGAGTACGAAAAGATTGCACTTGAATGTTACAAAGAAATGAAGGTTCTCAATTACTTTCCATGCACGTACACGTGTAATCGACTATTGCGAAGATTATCCGAGACGATTGGCTACGGGTTTGATAAGGAAGTCCCGCTTATTTACGTGGATATGATGGAATATGGTAGGGAGCCTAATGTAGCCACTTTTAATATTCTGATGGGATTTTATGGTCGTCGCAGAAACTATAATAATTTTTGGCGAATTTATCAATTATTAAGAGAAGCAAATTTAGAGACAAACAAGATCACGTATCAGTTAATACTAAAGATCTTGGCACAACCGTTACCACACTCCCAACTTGTCGCCAATACAATAGCGCATTTCGAAAAGCTTAAACTCAAACCTGATGAACGAACACTTAATGCCTTATTAGCTGGCTTCGGAAATATAGGCGACGTTATAGGAACAGGGAAGGTGTTGGACATGTACAAAACACACTTGATAGTACCGTCAATCAATACATATAACATATTAATAAAAAATTTACTTAACTTCGGATTAACACGAATGGCCATTAAAATTTACGAGCAAATGTTAGAAAATGGACCACCCCCAAATCTCATCACGTATAATCTTATTCTGAATATCTACACGAGAGAGAAACAACTCAGATACATGAAATATGTAAACGCGGCAGAAGAAGTATTGAATACAATGATCGCCAACAAAGTTTATCCTGATATTTGCACATGCAATATGTTGCTCATTGCCAACTCGCGTAGATCTCGTGTTGAAGGTATTAAAAAAATCCTTGACATTATGCACGAACAACGATTATATCCGAATGTACACACACTATCCATCTTCATACATATATTTGTCAAGGCTGGAAAAGTTAAGATTGCGCGAGAACTCTATAAGAAGTTGATTGAGAACGCTCGATTCAAGCATGAGAAGAAAATGCATGCTATCATGTCAACGAATTTGATTCATGGCTATTTGCATTATTATCAAGATTTTGTCACTGCCGAAAGTCTATTTAAAGATATGATTGAAAATAGAATCATTCCTACTATCATCACCTTTAATACCTTAATATACGCATACACTCATCGCTCAACACTTGACATGAAAAAAGCAATCAAATTATTCACCGAGATGGAAACAAAATATAAGGTAGCACCGGATGCTACTACCTTTCATCATATGATTACAGGATATATGGCGATAGGAGACGTGGACAAAGCTCTAGAAGTATATTATGAAATGTATAAACGTGGACTAAAACCCAATGACACAGTTCTGTCACGAATCCACTTCGAAATTAATTATATATTAATGGGAGGAGATAAAGCTAAAGAAAAAAAGTCAAAGGACTCTATTAATATTGAGACAACAGAGACAAAGGACTATACATTGATAGAGGAAAAGGAGACAAACTTCTCCATTATTATTAAAAAATAGATTATTGCAGACGTTAATTTAATAACACCAATTAAGGAATGAATCATCGTTATTCAACAGGGCTATAGCAAATTTACTGGGATGCAAACTTACAAATTGTGAACAACTTTGTGTTCTTTCGCCCGTTTGGTCAATAACAAGTCTAAATGCTCTTTTTTAATACTTTAAATGGACTTGCTACTACTTTTATACAATATTATTAGATCGACAATTGATGAGAACATGACATCTGGAATATTTAGGTATGATTAAATAAGGGCCTTGTGTTTCTTTATTATTATCAATCTAATTATTGTCCTCAATGTCTTCTTCTATTTTACTTCCTCCTCAAGACTATATGTAAGATACTTGAGAAGGTAATTGTCTTGATATGCTGTCTGGCGCATTAGCCAGTGATAACTGTGAATAAACCAACATGGTGATCCTCGTCCTCAATAAATATCTATAATTTACAAATAAATATCCATCCAACAGCATTTACTATGATCATAAAAACGCGTATGTTTATGAATGATACTTGCATAAGATTCAGATCAACTATTTTGGAGATATAAATTACACATTGATTATGTAAACTCTCAGGGATCTTTTGAAACACACGCATTGTGCAAATCGTCAAGTGATGATTTTCCCGTATTAAAAATCTTTTGTTGTACAGTTTATTTACAGAATAAGCAATTTTGGAATCTTCGAGAATCATTGATGTATATAAATACGGAAAATCCCATAATTTAGCAATATAATAATATGGGTCCTCGTTTACCGGTCGTATATTTGGTTCGCCATGGTATCGTATAAGAAATGATCAATTAAGATTTGATTAAAAAGAAATCGAATTCAATTTATACTCAATGCAATGTTGTAAACAATTATAATCAATGAAACAGGAGAAACAGAATGGTCAAAAAACGGCCAACACACTTCAATAACTGAAGTAGAGTTGACTCCGCATGGTAGAACCCAAGCACGTGATTTATCACGGTTCGTATTTGAGAATCCTTGTCAAGGTAAAATGATACACATCAATTCAGTTATCCCTTTCACAACTCTTCTTTTTTATTAACAAAAATGAAGACTTTATCGATCCGACAAACATCACTCAAATCTACGTATCACCACGCCGTCGCGCGCAACAAACCCTCGAATTGATAAATTTGCCAAATAAGAGCACTATTTCAACTATTATTGATCCGAATTTGACGGAGTGGCATTATGGAGATTACGAGGGTGTTACAACGCATGATATTCATAGCGGCATTTATGCATTTTGGGATATTTGGTTCGTGCGAGTTAGTTAATTTATCCACACATTAATTAGCGAATTAATTGCTTTTAAAAATATAAGGCGCGATGGGTGTCCAAACGGTGAAACGATTGAACAAGTATCAAACAGATGCGATCATGTGATTGCAAAACTTATGGCTCATCATGCTAGCGTAATTCATTTATTTTCCATTTTTTTTATTCTTATATCTCCAAGCAATATGACGAATATTTTTTAATTCTAGCACATGGATCATGATCCAAATGGACCTGGTGGTGACATACTTGTCGTTGCTCATTCACATTTACTTCGTATTTTGGCGATGCGTTGGTTAAATTTACCACCATCACATGGACGATACACTCTTCTTGACACTGCGGTAAGCGTGAAAGTTTTTTCAAGAATCTACGATGAATATGAAATTATTTATAGTTTTTCAATATACCTTAGAGCTTAAGTGTACTTGGATATGATCGATCGATGCGCGTTCCGGTGATTAGATCGTGGAATGTGACTAGCCATTTGTTTCAAAAAGAGAGTACCAACGAACCTATTAATTAATTTATTCTTCTTTATGATTATTGTAAGGCATTGATGATGGTTGATTTGATTTATTGATCGATGATAAATTTATTTAAATAAATTGCCAAATATTTATTGGAATAGGCTGTCTTTAGTGATATTTAAATAATTAATGTTTTGGCTTTTTGATATTATCATTCCTCTTGACCATTACTTTCCCTGCTTTTTACCCTTCTTCTTTCCAGCAGTTATTCGTTCTCGTATAGCGAGAAATTCCTCTTCGGTCTATTCATCCAAGATTAGAATAATTAAAGAAAGAAGCATTTATCAAAGCTTGGAAAAAAATCATATTTAAAAATATATACCGACCGGTTCTTTATAATCATTTGTAACTTCCTCACCATAATCATCGTCCACCACCCAATCATCTCCATGCTTTTCTTCCTTGGATTTCTTTGCGCCCGTCTTTCGCTTTTTACTTCTGTTATTGCCGCTGTTATTGCCGATATTATTGCTATTATTACTACTTCCGGCACCATACTTTTTCTCCATATTCTCAAGAAATTCGCTCGTTCGTTTTTGTGCACGTTTTTTTATGATTTGCTTTAATGCATCCTCACTACTATTACTATTGTGATCGTTGATTTCATTATTGATGATGCTGCTATTATTATTTTTGTATAACTTGTCATTCAATCCAAGTTTTCGTGCCATCTCTTCTGCTTCCTTAGCTTCACGTTCTGCAGCTTTTCGACGACGCGCTGTAGCAGCCTTCGATGAAGTAGCTGTAAATTTTTTGTATAAGCATATTTGGTCCGCGTCAATTGCCTCTTTGATTATTTTGCAGAAACGTTCTTCGTCGTTTGCCGTTGAACATGGAATATCGGCCATAATTCGATCCATATCGCCCTCATGTTTTTCATAAGAGTCTAAGAGATCTTTACGTTCTTCTGCTGAATCTATAACATATGTAAATATATGTAGAAATAGTGACAACGATTATAATATATTTTTCGATCATTTGATCCATCACCACTTTACTCACTCTGATATTTATCGCGAAACGCCTCAATCGACTCGGCATTAACATTGTCGTCCCATAAATCTTTGAAATAAGCATCCCATCCATATTTCACACCACCCTCATTAATCTCGAACAAATCATCAGAAGTCTCGCCTGTTCTATCATATTTTTCTCGTTTCGCTGGTGTATTCAAAACATGGTATGCAAAACTTAGTGCCTGAAACTTACGAGACTCCTCTTTCTGCTGTTCTTGTGTCGCATTCGCGTGCCTGTCAGGATGGTGTTTCAACGCGAGTCGGTAATATGCCTTCTTGATGTCACTTTGCGTGGCGGATTTTTCGAGTCCTAGTAGCTCGTAGAGATCACTAGCCTCCTCATTCAATATAATATCTTTCAGCGATTCTGTCATTTTTGTGCTTTGGAAATGAGATATTGAGTCAGGGAAAGAATTATTGATCTGAACACGCGTCAAGAGCGAACACGCGGCTATTAAATTATTATATTGGTTTTTTGGAAAGGATGATCATCAGCATAGCTATATTTTTTTATCTAGCGCTAACCGATATTGTATGTACACCGAAACTTTACTTTGAAAATGCCTTTAATTACAATGTGTGGGATCCCAGCAAGCGGGAAAACTACTTGTGCCAGACGAATTGAGGAGTACTTTAGAAAGCGCCTGGCTGAGGAGGGCCTGACCGGAAACAGAGTTCACCTTATAAATGATAATAGTCTGGGAATATCAAAAGAAAGCTACAAACGTAACGTAATTTACACTAATTCAAAATAGGAAATAGTGTTTATTTTGATTAATCATATAGATTCCATTGTAAATTGAAATAAAAGATACAGGAACTGAAGAAAAAAATTCTCGAGGCGCATTATTATCGTCAGTTGAGAGACTTGTATCAAAGGAAGATGTTGTGATAGCTGACGGAATTAATTACATCAAGGGATTTCGGTATCAATTATATTGTGTTGCACGGGCTGTTGGTACTCCTCATTGTGTTGTAAGTTTTTTTGATTAATGTTATAATGATTAATCTATTGATTGATGAACTTTTTTAATGTATGTGTCGGATTAAAGGTATATTGTGGCACACCTGTTGAAAAGGCACGGATATGGAATTCAAATAGACCGGAGGGAGAAGAAGAATATGAGGAATCCGTGTAATTATTCGTAATTTATTGCTCATATTTTTCTTAGATGAATATTAATATGATATTTATAGATTTGATGATTTAGTTAGCAGATTCGAAGAACCGAACGACCGAAATCGATGGGACTCACCACTTTTCACTGTGATTTACGATGATCCAGACATTCCATGTGATGCTATCTGGCAGGCGGTTATGGTGAAAAAGGCGAAGCCGCCGAATTTATCAACTGTGGTCGTATGTAACTATTATTGTTAATTGATCGATTTTCTCCTACTGCAAGTATAATCTAATCTTTTGGATAACTGTTTTTAAGAAACCAGTCAGCGAGACAAATTATTTGTATGAATTAGAAAAGACGACTCAAGAAATAATCAACCAGATACTAGAAGCTCAAAAAAATAATGTTGATGTTAGTTGCGAAATAAAGATTTCGCGTACCGATAAAACTATATCCTTTTCTCTTTTTATTACTTATGACAATATCTCCTCTTCTATATTTTTCTTAATATTCTAACTAAATAAATAACTTAACACGTGAATCTTCCATCAAGAACATTAACACTAGCTGAATTACGTAGACTACGGCGCCAATTCACAAATATCAACAAGATGCATACATTGCTGGATATGAATCGCGTAGCGGAGTTATTTGTAGAGTATTTAAATACAAATGTTAATCGATAATTTTTTCTCTTCGGATGATGCGGGATTGATGATTATATTTTGGTGGCTTTTTAAAGTCGAATGATGATAATAAATTGTAAGGTAAGCCTTTAATTTTTTTGCACTCTAAATTTTTTATGCACATCAGATATTCAAGGTTCTCAATCTTTGTTGCTACCTCAACATGCTGATTTGAAAATACGTTTGATCGGCCAAGATCGATAATCCTTACATTCAGTATTGATCTGATTTTGCGAGTGGTCAAACGCGTCATACTAATTTGTATTTATTATACAAGAGATAATGATAATAAATGGATAGCGAAATAGTGTCTTACTTTCTTTGTAATTTTATTAGAGCAATAAAATATTGAAGTGTGAACTATAAATAATTATAGTGCATACAAGCTAAAGACAGTCAATGGCATAATATGTTCAAAATTTTTAGTTATTCCAGAAATAAGTATCAATTAACTATAATAATGAATGAATTGATTGATTGATTGATTTAATTTTAAGAATTAGTTACTTTTGTCTAGAAAGAATAATGATTAAGTGCTAATATTAATAGAAAAAGAAAGAATTAATATTTCATTCTCTTTTGAAGAATTTACAAGTTATTACATTTAGTAATATTAATATAGATATTAATAATCAAAATTCTTTTTTCTACAGAAAAATATTTATGAAATTAATCAAGTATACTTTTTTAAATATTTATAAAAAAAGCTAAGAGATTATTGATTAAATTTTTTATTTGCTTGATCATGTTAATTTTTATTTTTTTTATTGTTATAATTATTTTGATTGATTTTAAACTAACTTATTAAAATTAAAGTTTTTAATTATTATAAGTAAAATATTCTTGATTAATAAATTTATGAGAATAATAATTTTTGATATTTTAAATATTCTTAAACATTTAATATTAAGGAAATTAGTTTCAAAAAAAATATTATATATAAAAAGATTATTTGAATTAATGAGAAATGGAAAAATTCTATAGATCAGAAATAATGATATTATAAAAGTTTGACCCTATTTTTTAAGGTTCAAAAAATTTAGGGTAAAAAATAAATACGGGGATGATGTTTATATTCCGCAAAAATACGGTAAGTTCTGCCGGATCGCGAAATAATGTCTTCAACAAATCAATTACTCCCTCTTGGTTGTTAGCTTTTTATAAATATCTTTCATATAATGTTTCATTTCGCTTATTTTTTCATTCCATCTTTCTTTTTGACTCCTAGAGTTAATCGATAAATGCATTGGCTCAAAAATATGGGTCATTATGAAAAGTGAGAAAGAATTTACAGGAACTCTACGCGGTTTCGATGATTATGTCAGTATCCTTTATTCAGCTTAGACATATTTTGTCATTGCTATTGTAGTAGCATAATTTTTTCGTGTCTGTTTTTTTCCTTAAAAAAAGTTAATTCTTATCAAAACTAAGATATGGTCCTTGAAGATGTGACTGAATAGTAAGTGAACTCTAGTTTTTTAATAATTTTGATATAATAATGATATTTTTTCTTTCAGTGAAAATACTCCGGAAGGTCGTAAAACAACAAAACTTGATCAAATTCTGTTGAATGGTAATAATATCACAATGGTAAGTTGGTCCACAATTTATAGTAATTTACGCGATTTTATATTTGAAGTGGGCTATTCATGTATTTTGTTAAATAGCTGATTCCAGGTGGTGAAGGACCAGAGAGCTAGATAGAGGCTTTTTCAATCCGAAAAGTAATTATAATAATACAAAAGAAAGTCATGTGACTTACGAGTCTTAAAATTCGATTATAATTGCGCTTTAATTAAAGGATTTACTTTTAATTGGTTTGCTATTATGTACATTTAAAAGAAAATTCACGATTCATTCATTATTCATGAATTATTTCTTTGTTTATCAAAAAAGATTATTGAATTATAATGAGCAAATTCGAATAAGACTTGACCCGTTTCTTCTCGAAGATCCGGTTTATAATCAATATTCTTCTTATTCCCGATATTATTCGAGCATTTTACACCCAAGGATCGAGCTCATCATCCTCAACATTAAATTCAAGATCCAATCCTTCTTGGATTAAATCTTTATCTTCTTTGATTTCCTCTTGTCCTAAATCCCAACCACCATTCTCAGTCTCGTTCTCCTCTTCAAATAGTAGTGTAGCACTTGAGGTCCACTTTGATGTATCCGTTATCTGTTCTTGTTGATTCTGCTCCGGATTTGAAGTGGCAGTAACAGGTGATGATTTATATGGAATATCCTCTTCTTCAGATCCATCGGATATTACAATAATATCCTTTCCTTGAGTTGGGGGAACAGTTGTCGCATGGACTTCATAAGAATGTTTTACACTATTTACATGTTCTGTAATTTTCCCTTTTTCCCTTGTAGACGAAGTCACAGGGAAAGTTAAGCTTTTCGGCTCTTTTTTTGTCCGATTTGATTTTCGAGTGGGTATTCTTGTTTCTCGTGATACCAATTTCTGCTGTGAGGAGGAAAAACTGGTAGTAAATGGCGTTTGTTTTGTGGTAGAAATTGAATCAGCAAACTCCATGAATGGAATATGTTTATTATTAGTTGAAGATGTTATTACAGAAGTCTTTGATTCAAAAGTTGATGATTTACTGCGAGGAGGTTCGCGATTGGTGTTGTTTGTAGATGAAAAAAAAGACGGGATAAAATCCGCGTAATTTTGCTGATGATGATTATAAGCTACGGCAACCCTTTTCTTTGCATCGGATTTGATAGATTTTACGGCCGATTGAGAATCTCCGCCAGGCTCTAAAGAAATATTAGAAGATTCATTGAGCACTTTATCTAAATATATTTAATACGCGTTCAGTAGTATCTCTGGATGGCATACTTTTGGGAGTCAAGGATGAATTTGAGATAAAAGGATTGGAGGAAGATTTTGATATAGAAAAATTAGGAAAAATTGATTTTGGTGCTTGTAAAAGTTTCGATCTATTACTGCTGATAGATGATGAAGTGGCGATAGATCTTGACGAAATTTGCTGAATTTTGGGCGTAAAATAAGCTTCCTTATTAAAACAATCTTTGCTTGATGAAATGAAAGCACCGCATTGCAACGGTGACGATAAAGTTGGCGTGGCAGAATAATGAGTCTTTAACTTTTTTCGAATTCGTGAATTCTTTTCGGATAAATAATCATTCATATTCTTATTGCTATCACTACTAACAATATCAGAACCAGAATCATCTTTTTCTTCATCATCCTCATCCTCCTCCATATTACCATACATCGATAATTGCTCGCGTAAATTAGCCAATTTCTCACCTTCAGCTCTTAACGCCTTCGCTTCCATCATTAATATCTCTTTTTTAGTTTTATATTCTTCGCGTCTATGATAGAAATTCCTCTCCATTAACAATAATTTTTTTCTCGTTTCGCGAAAGTATTCAACATCTTTTTCGGCAGGCTTCATCATCATCGTCTGTTTATTGGAGTTTGTGTGGTTTCTTGTTATTGTTGTTGATGATGGTGTAGATGATGGTGTGGGTAAGGGTATCCTATTTATTGATAATGCTGTGGGCGGTGTTGTGTTCGCTATATTTGTTGATGGTGGTGGTGGTGAGGATATAGGTGTTAATGATGAAGACATGGAAATGGAAGGTATCCTTATAAAATTATTGCCGTTATCGCTGCTATCGAGTTTGACATCTGTTATTGGTGACATACTTTTGTCTATTTCATGTCTTCCTTCGCAGTTATTTCCGGTCAATTCTCTTTTTTCTTTTTTTTCAAATTCTTTACCATTAACATTGACAGTATTCATGACTTCGTTATTTTCTTCCTGTTCCTGATTTTTTACTGTATACAAAGAGTATTTATAATCAGTAGAACTAGTACTTCCCATTGCTCAGTTTATTATCTTTTGTTCGAAATTGTTCGAAAATGGAGCGACCAACCAATTTTTCTGACTAATCATGACACTGCATTTACAACTTTATCTGATTCAATTTGAATATTAAAAATAAAAGAAACACGTTCGTTCCTCTTTGAGCATATGGCAGACACTACTACAGACATAGAATCAATCAATCGGTGCCTGGAATTAAGAGTATACTTTTCGAAAAGTTTACTAATATTGAGAAGATTGGTGAGGGTGGATTTGGTGAAGTGTACAAAGCTGTTTGGAATGAGAAAGAGAAAAAGGTTGAATTGAAGTCAGCTAAAACATTGGAAGAATTATTGTATGAGGTAATTAATAAAGATGGTGCCTAAAGTCACAATTTGAATTTAATCGATAAGTATGCGAAATTCCTATTTCCGTAGTTATTTATTTTATTATTTTATTTAATATCTATAAATTAATAACTTTTTTATTAGTGATGATTATAAACGTGAGAATTCGCAGTTTTATTTTGCATTTTCATTTTAATTTATTTGGTATTAATAATTTATTTAACTAGTCCATTATTCATATTTAGAACGTAAGAAATCATCGATCTTATTTTGCATTTTTTATTTTGATATTAATAGTTTATTTAACTAATCCTTTATTCTATTCTTTATTTAGAACGTAAGAAATCAGCGATTTTTATTTTGTATTTTTCATTTTAATTTTATTTGATATTAGTAATTTATTAATTAATTCTAGCCTTTATTTAGCACGTAAGAAATCATCGATTTTATTTTGAATTTTCATTTTAATTTTAATTTTATTTGATATTAATAATTTATTTAACTAATCCATTATTTATTCTTTGTTAGTAAGAAATCAACAATTTTATTCTGCATTTTAGGTAGGAAATTGTCCAGTTTAGTTGATTTTTTGGCTTTATTATTATTTTATTTTATTTATACTTTTTTATTAGATATCAATTTATTATATTTAATGCAATTTTAAGGTCTTAGGTAAGAAATGATATTCTCTGCTTTCTTTTTTATTTAATTAATTTATTCTATTTTTCATTTATCGATACTATAGGGTATATGGAATAACACATAACCCTTCAAATTGAAAATACTTTCTAGTCGTCACTTATGCCCAGCCTTGGTGGTCTGAGCCATTATCTACGAGATCAATTCAACAAAATAACATAGAACGATCGCATACAAGTACTATTTGATATTTGATCTTCAGTTTATTCACAAGTTATTATACATGGCGACCTGCATCCTGGAAATATTCTTCGATTAAATGAAGATGAAACTACAATCTGTGATATGGGTGCTGCAATCAGACAAAATTCCACTAAGGAAAAATGCAAAACGTTTGGTGTGATGCCATTCGTTGCACCAGAGATTTTACGAGGAGAGGCACTCAGCATGGCGTCAGATGTCTATGCATTAAGAATGGTCATCTGGGAGTGGAGTGTCGGTAAACCGCCATTCGGTAAACGTCCTTTTGATATTCATTTAGTCTTAGATGTATACGATGGATTGCGACCAGAATTACCGGAAGGATTACCTGACTTTTGCCGCGACTTGTTTGAACGTTGTTGGCCTCACAAAGACCAACTTCCAAAGAGATTTGCGACATCGTTGAAAAATGGTATCGAGGCGAAACTACAGAAACGGAAAAACAAACAATTAGATGCCGCCGAGAGGTTTAGAATTCCAGAAGCATCCTTTGGCTGTACACAAATTCGGATCAAAATAGGCTTTTGTAGGACCAAATAAACTCGGGTCTTGTGGTTTGATAACATGATATTTTGTACTAACACTCATGTCAAGTTTCCAGACTATTAAGTTTCACACTTCATTTGTGATCCATGGATTTGATTGGTCGTTGATCGAAATTTTTGATTGGATATTGATTAACATGTGATCCGGAGATGCGTTATTGGCCAAGTGTTGTCTATTTTCATTTTCACCATTTTCTTTTTGTAATGTTTTGTAATGCATTATTCTCTTGGTTTTCCCTTGGATTTTCTGGTTCCTTCTTTTTCCAGTATTCGCGTAGGAAGTAGGTAAGTTCGCTATACTTTCTCCTGTTATTGTTTTCCTCGTTGTTATGGTTACAAATTTCATGAATTTTGCCATTTAGGTCTTCATAAAAATTTAAAGAAAATCATAATCTTGTAAAAATAACGTTAAATTCGACACTTAATTAATTGATTTTTGGAACAAAATTTCATATTAATTAGTGAAATGGATATCAAATGTAGTTTAGAATCACTTAAAATATTGAATATGATGTAAAAAAAAATTATAGAAAAATATTTAAAAAAATATTTGCAGGTTCCCTGATTCGAATTCAGTGGAATCACATGACCAGCACAATTTTTTCACTATGGTCAATCGTTAACTTTAATCATGCCGATCTAGTTTCTTGAAAAACGAAGCAACAGATCAAAAAATGCATCCAATCAGACTGGATATATACGATCATTCTGTGTTCAATACATTTCGAATTTTAGATTTGAACTCTATTACAGTTCAGCCTATATGATTTCCTAATTAACCAATTAAACATTGACTAAACAGACTAGATAAACAAAGGCGGGAGTTTAGATTATCGAATATTGATGAATTTTTTGAATTCAACAAGATCTTTTAGTTTTATATATATTTATGTGGTATCTACGACTTTTCTTTTTTCAACCTCAGCCTACTTTTGAAGTCGTCGTACTGATCATTATTAACGAATATGATATAATTTAACTATTACTATTATTAAAATAAATTCATTATCATAAATGCGGATTGATCTCCCCTAAATATATCTGACGATCTGTACTTCCAGAAACAACTGCATAAGCAAAAATTAAATTCATTAACATAAATAACCATCAAAAAAGCATGCCAAACAAAACCAAGAAAAAATTTAAAAAAAAACTTACTAATCGGTTCCTTTGGATGGAAATCGACATCATTAACCGACCCTTTATGACCGGGTAACTTGTACAATATTCGTCGTGTCGCGACATCCCATATCACAACTGTTCGATCACCGCTACCACATGCAATTTGTAATGCATCAGCTGACCATGCCGGTCTGATGAGATTTTTTTCGAAGCCGTGTGGCGCGCCTAATTAATTTTAATGAAATAAACAATTTAATCTTAAAAGTCGAAATTTATATATATATATATATATATATATATCTCTTGAGTAGGAATAAATATATTAAAGTACCTTCAAATATTTTTTGGAGACGATGTCCAGACACGAATGGTTTAACATCCCAGATACGAACTATATTTACATAGTAGTAATAAATTATATCAATTAAAATAAACAAAAATAAAAGGACATGTATACTCACCAGTATTATCCATTGCGTTAGACAATAAACATGAACCATCAGGACTTAGACTTAACCCGGATATTGTATCCATATGACCATTAAGAGTGTAGATTATATCCTTCTTCCGCAAGTCCCAACACTGATTCAAAGAATAATATTTCATTATTATCGTAAATATTGTCGTGTATGAATAAATTAAAAAATAACTCTTACCGTGATTTCATTATCGAGGCTACCAACAAAAACATAATCGCCAGCTTCGCTAAAACACGTAGCTGTTATTTGATATTGTTGTCTCAACGTGTCAACTGCATCTCTTTGACGAAGGTCCCATATCTATGATAATCAGATAATTTCGCTTCATTCATATAAAAAAATCTCATGTATAATGATTGTAGTATTTAAAAATAATAACGGACCTTAATCATCCCATCGTCACCACCACTCACAAGCATCTCATTTCCTCGTCGTGCCGGGGAAACGCTATTCACATAGGCCGTATGACCTTTGAATTTCTTTACACGGGTTCCAGTGGTTACATCCCAAATTCCGACGGATTTATCTGTAGAGCAAGAAAAGATTTTGCTGAGCGATTTTTTTTTTTTATTATTTTTGTGTGAAAGGCGTCATTGTAGAAATATAAGTTTTTTGTAATGTCAATTATTACGAAATATTTCCAAACAATGGAAGTGTCGAACCTTGAATCTCGTGACCAATGTAATTCCATTATAGCCCCATTGTGACCTTTCATCAAACCATAATTAAGGCAATCACCGTATGTGTTCCATAGCACTACGAAAATAACAATCAAATCAAATCAAAGAGAATTTGAAAAAATGTAAAATTCGAAACAGGCAATAGGAAGTACATACGGATTGTCCGATCAAAAGATCCGGAAGCAATATGTTGACCAGCAGAGTCAAATTCCACGGTAAATACCTCTCCCTAATGAATTAAATAGGATAATAGACCAATATTAAAAAATTGAATCTGTTTATGGGTGAAAAAAATGCATTATAATTTATATATCCATATATACTTGATGTCCATTTAGTAGCATGATCGGGGCTTGTAAACCGGAAGTGCGTTGTACCTAGCATAAACGACAAAAAACTCAAATTCAACCAAGAGTCCTACGAGACGTATCTTCATCTATTTACATAAAAGTAAACTATTACAAACTGTTTGTATTAAAGCCCCATTACGGCCTTTCGTCGTGTCGGATACAGCGACCACATTTGAGGCTTCTGGCTTTTGTCTTTTAACTAAAATTCCAGTTGTATCCGCGGCGGTAGGTGGTTCTTTTCTCTTATCGGCTGACATGTTTATTATAAGAAACTCGAGTTTTTTTATAAAAATTGGACAAATTCAATGATTTGATTTGATTTGATGTGATGTGAACATCATGTAACTTTTTATGCACTCAAGCTATTTCGGATCCAAAATTTACGATGAAAAAATGTGGAATGAAAGACAAGCCGAAATGCTTACTGCCCAGAACAGAGACCAAGATGTTTTATTGTACTTCACATTTTTAAGTCTGGAACAAAAAGAACGGAAGGCTGAAAGCAATGATTTCACAAAGAGCTACTGAAACTATTTAAGAAATTACTGAGAACATTCTTTATACAAGAATGATATCATTGTTGTTTCTTTTGGCTGACAAACATCTCGACACGTTAGTTAATAAACTCAACCCATCAATGTGCAAGAACTCAGTTTACAATCCAATTGATATTAATTAAAAGATATTAAGAGGGGAAGATTGTGAAAAAGAAATGTAAGCAATAACTTGGTGATGGGATTAATGGCAAGCTTATTGTAAGAGTTCAATTATCTTTCAAAATAAGAAACTTTGATGAGGCAGAGAATAATTTTAATAGAATTGACTTTTATGTTGATCCATATTTACATATTCTTCTGATCAAAAAATCTTTGAACATGGCATATTTTAGCCTGATTACGGTTTCCTTGTTAGGGTGCAATTTTTTTTTAAGATTCAGAGTTTTTCAATTATTTCAATAATTTCTGTAGAATTATTAGTGTGCTGGAGTTCATTGATCTTCTTTATTCAAAATTTTTAAATTTGGGAATTCTTTAAATAAACGACGAGTACTTGTCAACAGAGTTTTGGATATTATTGATTGATTTGGTGTTATAAAAGTTTCAAAATCCATAATTTCATCACTTTTCTCGAGCACAATTCATTTGGATACTTTGGCTTTTTTGCAGTGTTATTGACTGAAATTGGATTTTTTGTTAAAAGAATTGGAGTTCATCTCTTTTTTTCGATCATCAATGACGAGTCAAGTGTTGTAATCTGTTTGATTCTCAACTTATTGTTTGCGATTGGGATCTTGAATTTTATTTATATTTTTCATTTATTTTTGTTAATTTATCTTCCTTTTCCATAGTATAGGTAGATAATGATCTATCTTACCTCGTCGATTTCTTTTGTTGCTAAATTTTATTATAGGAGATACTAATTTGAAATTCGAATTAATTACTTTATCGTCTTTATGTTCAATCTTCCTCTGAATAATGAAGAGGATGGCATATCACCTTTCACTTCGACTGCTTTGGTTAATTGGATCTTTCTTCTTACAAGCGTTCGATTCGTAATCCATCTTTTTTCCTGGTCCTCCCCGAAGGTGACAATGAATTAACAATATTCTTTCTCATAGGCTTTTATCTTCCTCGATAATACGCTAGTAAGTTTCGATACGACAAGTTTTATAGACTCTTTTAATATTATTAGTCTCCGTTTCAAAATCGAAGAATCTAACTTGTATCGTTACTCTCTTCGTCGTTATCATTGCTTACTGCTGTTTCACTTATTTTGTTTTTGCATTCTTATGCGGTTCTTTTAATAATTTTTTCATTTTAATTTTGTTTATCGTAGTGATTATTTCTTGTTCAGAATTAATTTGATCATTCAATATCTCGAAATATACATGATCCATGACGTAGTAATCCGGCAGAAGTATAAAGAATGTTGTGTATAATGTATCAAACTTGGTACTTTGCCCTTTTTTTAATGGCTCTCGTATTCAAATAATTATTTTTTCCCTCTTTTCTCTTGCGCGAATTGGGCTTAATGCTACCTTGATGCTCGCCGCTTTCAGAAGAAATCGGTCCTTGTATTTTCTTCATCTCAACAGACTAGAATAAAAATATCAATATCAACTTATTATCTATCTAATATTGGGATTCAAAATTAATTTACCTTCTCGAATGTCACTCTTCACGATGATAAAAATGAATAATATTTCATAATTATGAAATATTTAATGATCAAAAAGATAACAAGAAGACTGATAGTACTCACGAAGATCTAGAAAAAATTCGATCCTCCTCCCTGATTTCGAATATTTTCTGGTTGTTCTTATCGAGTGCGCTTTTTGACACTTTGCCGAAGCCACGTAGCAAATTTCCTTTCCCGTTATGAGTGTCTTTCAAGTATGATGCTTCGAAATTATAAATGACGAACTCAATTTCTACCTAATAATGTATTTTTTTTTAAAAAAAACAACTCATTGCTATTAGGCATATTTTTAACAACTCATACGTATAACATATCGATAAACACTAATTCAGGCGTGATTTTACCAAACTTGCATCCGCCTTTTTCTTTTCTATGAGTAACTCATTAAGCTCAGCTTGTATCGCTTTTATCTTACTAGAAGAACCTGAAGTTTTCTGAGGCATATTTGATCAATAAAAATTTAAATACGGAAAAATAAGTAAAACACTAGTGATTTGATGAAAAGAGCACCATTGGTATTGGGTCTGTATCATGCGGAGAAGATATTTGCTCTTCTATCTTTGATGATGAGCTTGAAGGTTTCTTTGAATCGACCATTACTTTTTTTTTTGTTAAAGAGGAATTCTATATACCTATTTACCTATTTGCAAAAAAGCGGCCGAGAATGAACGAATCACGTGAACGTGCAGGGTGAAACCAATTCATTGGCTAAAAAGACTACCATATTCTATCGACTCTAAAATAGGCTTTTTAGACGGTTCTTGAGTATCTACCTTCATCCGGGATCAATCAACGGTGATTATTCCCTGAGCTGACTCAAGAAAAATCATCGTTATTGCTTAGTTGGTATCACAATTCTCGTGTGCGCGTGGTGCTTATTCATAATTTTTCTTACTTTTTCGGGTGGCGTTTAGAATATGGTATATCGATATGAACTAAATATGGAAGTTAATTATTATTAGCCAATGAAAAAGAATGAATTTTCATTCGTAAATGCATTATGCGATATGAAACAACACATGGTCAATCTGGTACTCCCTAAACAATTTTTAACCTCGCCACTCCTTTAGCCTCGTCTTCAAACCTCCCTCTGACATATAATATCAATTTCAAAATCCTATAATAATATCCGATATTTCTTGCTGGAGTTAAAGAGAAATATAAAGTAGTAGCTGTTATTCAGATGAACCCGATTGATTCAACTTTAGCTTCATCGTATTATCAACAAAGACAGGGTAGTTTGGAGAAACTTGCTGCTCGCAGTATGTCTGATTCCGAAGAATCAGAATCTAATCAACGCGTTCCTCACACCGATGCTAACGGTGTCCAATATAGACCACAAGAAAATGGTCGAGTAATAACCAAAGACGAAATCCTCAATCGTATTGTCCCGTTTTATGAAGTGAATATTCTTTATCAGATTTTTCTAAATGACCATTTTGTCACTTGATTAGAATCATAATTTTTCGATCCATGATATAATTTATCATTCATGTCCCTTTTTTTGACACTAATATTATTCTTTTTTTACATTATGACAATTATGAATCTCAATAGTTGTTTATAACCACATCTGGGTTACTCGGTTACCACATTCTAAAGG